AACAGCAGCAGCACCAACCACCGCAGACCAAAACTTTCAGGTAAATATCTTGAATGTCTAAAGCTTTAATTTAAATCATTCCAAAACCCTAGCTAAGAGAAACAATCGATATGTTAATTTTTTTGCTACTTGATAAACTTTAAAATATTCCTTATTGAATTTTTTTTGGGTCAATTTTTCAGGAATTTATATGCAGTCGATGATCAGATTTCGCCGGCAGTCGCTTATTACAGCTCCACAAACCTACAAGATCAGTCTCAACATCCACCATATATTCCTCCCTGTAAGTTTTTCTATCTTCATCCATTTAATCTCTTTACATTGCTCTTAGTTGCTGAAAGTCGAGAAAAATTAGAAATTAATAATAGTGGAGTTCTTGTTCTTTTAGTTTCTAGGTAATTTAGAACAAATTGTTAGGTGGATGTCTGTACGTTCGGGGCTTTATGGCTGATACGAGCTTAACTCATCTAAATTGAGAGAAACTTTATAGGAACTATGCCAAAAGAAAAAAAGTTAAATAAGAGAGAATATTTAATATTTCTCTAGCACCAGCGTGGTTTTGGTTAATTTAAGCTGGTTTTTCTTTTTTTCTTTCTTTTATAGATCAGCTTATAATGTTTTGGTGTTTTGTATTTGTTATTCTAGTTCATGTGATCGGGTTTGCACCTGGGCCTGCCCCAGTGACAGATGGTAGGGACGGGCCTGATTTGCAGTGGAATTACGGAGTAGAATCCAAGAGAAAGAGACTAAAGGAGCAAGATTTTTTTGAGATTAATTCACAGATATCATCAGTTGATTTTCTGCAAGCACGGTCTGTGTCAACTGGGTTGGGTTTGTCACTTGATAATAACCGCATGGCCTCTTCCAATGACTCAGCTCTGTTATCACTCCTTGGTGATGACATTGACTGCGAGTTACAGAGACAAGATGCAGAAATTGATAGATTCCTCAAAGTTCAGGTACTCCCACGTGTCAAGGAATCATTAAGTAATGTTGAATTGGGAAATTGGTTTTTTATTGGCTTCAATTTCAAATTGGGTTAGTAATTGCGGTAATTATGTCCAATGTGTTTATTGTGCTATGTGGATGTTAAGTGCATTATGTTCCTTGAGATTGCGTGTTCTTTCCATATTTTATTTTCCACTGTAGAAAGGTTCAAGGTCCAAGGTTTTTAAGATTTAATTGCCATGACAAGATTGTGTAAATGATAGGGAATTATTTTTTTGATATTTTTTTGACTGTTGTTACTGAATGGTTAATTACTTATTTTGACAGATTGGCAACTGATAAATGAGTAGTTGCTTTCTCTTCTCTATGCTAAACATTTAAATTAAATTTGGAAATTTTCAGAGAATATGTTGCATTGGCACCAAATCAGAGAAGTTTTGTGTTTGTTGGTGTTGAAGTCTTTTTTCTTTAAATGTTTGAGGACAGTGGATATCTTGGCTTGCTTTGGGTAAGCAATCCTAGGAACTAGGAGTTGGGGCAATCTTCTAAATTCTTTCCTGTCCAAGTATACTAGGAACTGAGGCAATGTACTGAACCCCTTTTGAATTTCTAATAGGTTTCTACGTCTAGCTGTTAGAGGAGGTAGGTCATTGTTAATCTTTCCAAGGTGAAATATTTTTGTCTGCTTGTTTATTTTGGGGCAGAGCATATTTTGTTATTAAGCTTCATTACATGTATTTTTAGCTGTTTTAGTATTTGTAGTTGGCCGTTAATAAGATAACGTAACAATTAGTTTGAACAGTCTGAACTTTACAAAATTGACACTTGAAAGACTCATATTAGAATTTTCGTAATTAAAAAAGTCAAATATTCTAAAATTAGAACTAAAATAAACCAGACAATAAAACTTAAGGTACATAAAGTTAAAAGAAAAACAAGATTTCCACTTGAGAATCTTTGGGAAGTTTATGCGTGTACTAAAATTAATAAAACTTATAGATTTTTTTTTTCTTTTTGAAGATTTCAATTGTTAATACCTTCTACGCGTCAAAATTTTTAAAATATCAGGTAGTCCAGGTGTTCAAATTAACGGTGTTATATTGCTTGAGAAATGGTTACCATGAGTATTGAAGTTGCTAAAAGTAGTAGAATCTGAAAGACCCTGAACTACAGAATATTAAACTGTATTTTGCTAAAAATAGTAGAATCTGAAAGACCCTGAACTACGGAATATTACACTGTATTTTGCTTTTAATTTTATTATCCTAGTGTGAAAATTTTTGTGAAGGAGCTCATTTTCAGCTTTCCTGTCCATCCTTCGATTAAATTCTTTGACGTGTTCTGCTGTTCTTTAGGGTGAAAGATTACGACAAGCTGTCCTGGATAAGGTTCAGGCTGACCAACTTCAGACTGTCTCATTCGTGGAAGAGAAAGTCATCCAAAAACTGCGGGAAAAAGAAGCAGAGATGGAGATTATTAACAAAAAGAACATGGAACTTGAGGAACGAATGGAACAATTGACTATGGAAGCAGGTGCTTGGCAGCAGCAGGCTAGATATAACGAAAACATGATTGCTGCCCTCAAGTTCAATCTTCAGCAAGTTTATGCTCAAAGTAGAGATAGTAAAGAAGGATGTGGTGACAGTGAAGTAGATGATACAGCTTCATGCTGCAACGGTCGTGCGATTGATTTTCACCTGCTCTGCAAGGATAACAGTGACATGAAAGAGTTGATGACTTGCAAGGTTTGCGGGGTAAATGATATTTGCATGCTTTTGTTACCTTGTAAGCATCTTTGTGTGTGTAAAGACTGTGAAAGTAAGCTTAGTTTCTGTCCATTGTGTCAGTCATCTAAGTTTGTTGGAATGGAGGTTTACATGTAATAGATATATGTTAATGCTCTAATATTATAGGTCTGATATGCATTGTTCTTGTCACTTGGATGCTTGTGTATGGGCTCTTTTAAAAGTATTTTTTCTATCATTTTATTTCTCTTGAAAGGCCCTTCTCTATGATGTGGGACAATCAGGCTTATATGATAAGGTGTATAATATGTAGGTCTAGAAATGGCTTCTTAGATTATTATTAGGAGAGGCTTACTCTATTTTATTAGTTCTATTAATTTCTTTTTTAGTTGCAAATTCTATTTTCCTCATTGTTTTCCTATTTTAGTATCCTAGACATAATAGGCATCTAGATATCCGATATATACATAGGTGATACTCTATTCGTTACATATATTGTTATGATTATAATTGTCTAAATATTTTCCCGTTAATTGAGTGTTTTAACAACTTTGTTAATTTTTAGTTTTTGATTATAGTTGTCCTTCGATTTCTATGGTTTTGGATTGCTAATACTGAACTCTGTAACGTGCACACTCTTGAAATTCTCCGTACTTGAATCCTAACTCTGTTTGCGTGAAGTTAATACCTGTCATTATGAATTGATTGTTTCTTTTTCTCTTTTTTTGTTTAGAAAAAAAGTCTCTGAGTCACATTCCACTGTGCTATGGCACTTTATTACAGCATGTTTCAGATTACTTTTAGGTGTTGTGGCATCTAGAATGCCTTGGTATGTTGTTTAAAACAGGATATTGGCAGATCCTTGTTAATTAGGTTCTGCAGCCATCTGCTGGAAACTGATGGATTTTTGCTAGAAGTGAAGAAAAGAAGGTGGTAATACAGAGAGAATTTCTTTCTAACTCCTGCTTTGCACTAGTACTGGGGTGGTTCATCTGTTAACCAAAATTGCAGTTCAGGTTTCCCTCTGTGATGTGGAGAACGTTTTGGTAGTGTGATTGAATTATGTTTATAGAAAGCAGCTGAGAACAGAAGATTATCGTCTACCTAGACACACAAAAGAGTATACTTATAAATATTTATATATCTATGTATATTGTTATCATGAGTGGTTAAACTGACACACATACACACATATCATATATGGACAATGGCTCTCGTAGTTACTGACTGATGCAGTTTGCTATGCACTGTCCGTCTCTGCATATTGTTCGCTTTGTATTTTTATGAAATTTTTTTGCCATAAAAATGAAAAAGTTCTGCCCAATTTATAATATTCTGTTGGGTAGTTCATTTGGTCTATTCACGTGATTAATTCTCTAGATAGCCACTTTATCCTGACACTAGGCTTTTTAAACAATACCTTCCGTAGCCTCCAAAATAATTGCTTTCTCACTGAATGTATTGAATCTTCAACTTGTAAACGGTTCTCTGAAGCTTCTTTCACTCATGTTTAATGAGGAGATCCATCCTCGTCATTTCTACCATCACTGCTCTTGCTCTGTCCTTGGACGATGTGATATCAGTGTAACAAACAGACTCTCTTCTCATGAATATCTTCTTTCACTGGTTGGGGATGTGGGATGGTAATGAAGCATCACTTCTTCAACAAAGTGGAGGGAACGTTGAAGCTGCCGATTCCATTTCTCAAGAGCTACTACTTTTTTTCCCATTTTTCAGCTTGTTCCTCTCTGTACCAGATCCACAACGATGGAGGCAAAAAATGAAGGTCAATTTCAAACAATTGCTTTACTGATCTAGATTCTTTTGTTTTTGAAGGAGAAAGTCAGGCCAGCCCTCCATCGAAGCTACCAGGTAAGCTTCCATTATAATTCCCCACCTTAACTGGAACTATAGAGCTCTTAGTTACAGAGCATTTGAGACTTGATGATTGTAATCTTTTTTCTCCATACTCCACCATTCAAACTGTATTTCATTCTCTTCGTTTTCATTTTGTCTTCCCAAATGGTGGTATACATTGGTTAGTTGTTCTCCACTTCATAACTCTATAATGACAAAATAACTTCATGACGGTCTTGTACTTCTGCTGTACATAGACTCTTCCACTCGAGGGCGAATGTCTATGAGGTTGAAACCAATGGTGTATTAGTCAAGCAAATAAGCAGCTTTCACCATGAATTCTCCATACCTTATCTGGTAATCATCTCATTCTATATATGTATATATATATATATATATATTTTTTTTTTTTTCATTTTTCTTGTGTGTTTGTTGAACATTGATTATCTCTCTTCATCTTGGTCATTGTGGAGCAAAAAAGGAACTAGATTGGATCTGGATTAACCTTTTGATAATACCCATAAATAGCTTGTTTTTGGTAAGAGATAGACATTACTATACATAAATTCAGGTGCGTGGTACACATCGCTCATTTCTCCATTTGAGGTAGAATAAATATGCTTTCTAACTCTCTCTTTATAATTTAAAATGTATGTTCCCGCACTAAACTCAGTAATCACTTGTTCTGATTCTACATATTGATCATTTTGAACTTAAAGAAACTTTTTTAATGGAATAGTCATATTATGTATAACATCTTTACTTATTTTCCTTCCAATATAATGACCGATCTCTTGGATTGATTGGAAACCACTTGCCAAGGCTTCATTAGCATCCTTGATCTCCTTACGCCTGAACTACCTATTAATCCGAGGAAAACAGAGTTATCCCACCTGTTAGGATAAAAATGATATTGCTTCTAGTCTGTACATTTCACCAACAGCTTCTGATGCGAGAATCAGTGGTTTGGCTTCGCAAATATGTTTATTTGGTGTAATCAGGGATTGAATCTAAAACTGATTTCACTAGTTTTTCTCTGCTAGCATAGGATAATGATGGTTGTTTTGCTTGAATTTTAATGGTGGTTCTAATGGAGAGTGAGGCAGCTGTAGTCGTCTTTGCCCGCATCCGTAGTTGGTTTTCCAATATGATTATATATATATTTTTACCAAAACGTGTGGTACTACTATTTAAAGTAGTAGACCTCTAACATCATTGATTTAAAATTTTAATTTTGACTAAAAATTTAGCAAATAAAAGTTAATTAGCGTATTAACTACCAATCATAATTTAAACTTAAATTATAGTAATAATTAAATAGTACAGAAATATTAAAGTAATTGTATATTGTTTTATCTTGCGCAAATTTATATTCGGCGGACACCATTTTTTTAATTTTTCCTGGTACGCAATATAACCCTTAGACAAGTACTTGACGCATGGTATGGTAAAATTTAGACTTATTTTTACGTTATTGAAGTAACAAAAAATCTTGAATCTAGTAATTATTGGATCTTGGCAAACAAATTAATGGGCAATTTTCTGCATCGGGCGCGGCCTTTAAGATTCTAGGCTTTGCAAGATCAATTCTTCTTGAAACCAACCCAAGGTTTTTTTTGGGGGGGGCATATATTTATATATATATATATATATATATATATATATAGTACTGGTGGCGGCAGTTGTCCCCACTAGTATTCATAATGGAATATGTAGTTACGTTGAAAAAAAATTGATTGATATGTTTTCTTTGCTAAAGTTTCGGAGTCATACAACAAGCATCTGTCTTTTAGATTTATTTTTTACTCTACAATTGTATAATTTAAAACTTTAAGGTATTTACACATATAAATGAAATAATTTGACTCTAATAAATTTAATATTATTTATTAATTATGCTCTCTTAAAAAATAAATATTATTAACTTAAGATTTTGAAATAATCAATCAGTTTATTATTGAACATAGTATCAAAGTTAGAAGGGTGTTTAAATGTTGGATTTTCATTTTTATTAAAAATTGATTTTTGCATAGAGTTTGGTGAATTGACACCATATATACATATATATATATATGTATACATTGTCTGATTTTGAGAGTATAGATTGATCAATTAAGTAGGTAGATATAGTTGAGAAATTGGATAAGAAAAAAATGACATGTGGATGTGAAGTTGGTTTAGATTTATGTTGCAGGATTTGATATACGCATGCAAAAGATCACAATCCCAAGGATTTGATATTCACTGCTAATTTGCTGTTAATAGTTACACAATCACTGTTTTAATTGTGTGACTTTCGGTCCAAAATGGACTTAATCAGGGGAGACAAAGCTTATCTAGTAAGCTGTGGTAGTTGAACAGCACTTGTCATTTTCACCGACCTCCATGCGGTACTATAATTCTGATAATCATCATTTATCAGCTTAAGCTTAAATTAGCAAGTGAGCCTCAGCTCAGAAAAGCTTGAGCCTTATTGTAAGTCGTTAATGTCAGCAATTAGATCACCAGGATCTTGAACACCTTCTGCTAAAATCCTTATTTTAATTATTGATTTATTTAGCTTTAACATTACACACACACACATACATATATAGGAGTCTTGAGGAGCAAGATTAGTTTTTTGTGGCTTAGAATTAGAGAAGGCTCAAAAGTAGAGAATGCTTTACCAGTTGAAAAGGGAGAGAGATGATCCTTTTTTCTAATCATGCCTTGGAAAGTGATGACAAAGAGGAAAGTGAATATGCTTCCCCCATGATTATAACTATCTGCTTTCAATTATTATTCATATGAATTCCTATATTCTCTTCTTTTCATTATTATTCTTACACACACACACACACACACACACACACACACAGATACACGTACTCACAATTTCCACCTCCACATCCACTTACACATCCCACCGCAAACCCCACCCGATCTCAGAGTACTGTCAATTGTCCAGTTCGCCTTTTCTATGTACACTTCTTCTTTAATTATTCTTACAAAAAAAAAGAAAAAAAAAAAGAGAAAAAAAGAAAAACCCTTAGGTAAAAGCTAGCTATATATGTTTATATATTGGATGGCGATATGAATGACATTTTCAAAATTAAGGAAAATAGCTAGGTGACTTAATTAATTTACTTCAGTTCAATCATCCAAAATCCTCCTTATTCCCTATAAAGCTGTTATTTATTTATTTTTTTTTGAGGTGGGATGGGATGAGATGGGGTCAAAGGGGCCAGGATATATCTGTATTGGCTTGCCTCCACTTTGTATTATCTCTTTTAGCCATTGTTTCTTTTACTTTTGGTTGCTTTCCTTTCATCATCATATATTTGTACCATGCATTATTAATCCTGAATTAATATTGTTTCTTTGGCCCTTCAATACACGTGATACATACATCTCTACGTATAAAGTTATTCTATTTCTTTATGTACTTGAACTTTTGTATCTTGTGCTTGCATATATAATCATCCCCACACCTCATGCTTCCAGCACCAGCCTGCAGCCTTATCACTTGCTCACTTGTGATCAGCAGATCTGGGTCCTCTTCTCAGTCCTCCTTCACTAATATTTTATATGATATAGAGACCTAAGTTTTGTCTTTTTAAAGGAATAAGAGGTATAAGTTGGATGGAAAAGCTGTCCATGATCAGCCTTATATTTATAGTTGAATAGCTTTACAAGATATATGACTCTAATCTATTTACATTTTGGATATTGCTTTGAATTGAGGATAGGATACGTATAATTTAGGATTATACCTATTCTCTATCATGTTTCGGACTTCAAAAATTGAGAAAGCTAAGATGGAAGAGGTTTCATAAGAAGATAGCTAACTAACAATGTATAGCAATCTAGAACCATTGGAATTGACTTCTGTTGACTTTATCCTTGACCAAGTAAAAATATCGAAAATATATTTCATCTTGGAGTGGAGAATATGATCAAATGAGATATATGTATAATCTGAGATTATATTGTCTTAAATATATATATTTTAATTTATTCAAAAATAATGCGTCATTTTCTTTCATAGTTATATATAAAATAGTGCGTCATTTTAAATATGATTTTATTTTTAATTTAATTTATTCAAAAGTAATTTATAAGATAGTGCATAATTTTCTTTCATGAATGTATTAGATATATCCTGACTTCTTAAAATAAACTACTCTGCATGCTCTCATTTTCTAAAAAAAGTCAATACACTAAGAAATTGAACTTAGATTTATTGCTAAAATATCAGTGTTACGCTTAACATTGCCATAGATGGGGACCCAAGAAAATGAAAGAATCAATTATATAAATATATATATATATATATATATATTTAATCCCTCTTATTAATGTATAAGATGACAATAGATTATGAGAGTCTTGGAAAGATAAAGATAAATACAATTTTGGTGTCTGAGTTAGATGATAAATAGGCAAGGAGGCAGAACTTGGTGTCTATTTAGTGAGATGAACACCTTAATAAACTATTCATTTGAGACAATACAAAACTTTCTTGATAGTAAACCAATGAAGCTATATAAATGACTATGCATGAATTTAGATAAGTGGTTGATGTCAAGCCATATATAATCTAATGAGAGAAATATATTTTAAAGCAATTAGTATATTTATGTTATTTGTTACATCAGTAACTATACTCCCACTATTGGGCACTAAAGAGGTTGAGGAAGACATTAGAGTTTGAAGTTCCTTTGGCTTAATTAATTTGGTTTTATCAGCATGTAAGTAACATATTTTTATAGGGAAAGAAAAGATATTCAAGGCTGTAAGAGTAATCTTAATACAAAGGAAATAGTTAAAGTTTATATTAAGTCTTTGGGTGAAAAGGCAAAAGCTAAAACACCCATAAACATGCTCGACACCAAGATTGCTAGAAGGTTCACTTGGTGTAATGTAAATGATTTATCTACCCTTTAGCAAATATGATAGGTTAATGGACAAAGGCTTTATGGTTGGGTTATCACAATTTGACATTAGGATTTGAATAATGGAAGTCTTAAGTTTTTTAGAATATTTAACACTTTCATAAATCTAATACTAAAGCTTATTAAATAAAAAAGAGATTCTTATGTGGTTGAAGATCATGACAGTTTTAGGTTAAACCTCTAACTTAATAATGAAT